ACCTGCCGCAACCTGCTGCGGAAATGTCGTATTGCCGAAACCGGACACAAATGAAAATTACCTTATTTTAAATTAAACCGTCCACACGATCCGGTATTCCGCATGCGGTGCTGATTTATTTATTTTAAATTTTATTAAATTGTGAATAGTGCTAAAAAAATTTAAAAAATGTTTGATTACGAAAAAATGATAATCGAAATTGAGTCAAGGCCATGTTTATGGGATGTCGGGTGTCGGGTCAAAAGAATATAGTGATAAAAATTTAAGAACCTTATCATGGAATTCTGTCGCTGAAGCCATGTATGCCGAATGGAATGAACTTTCGCCATCACAAAAAGATGAAAAAGGTAAGTAAAATACACATATTATATTATATTATATTATATACACATATTATAATCCTTTTACATTTTTTCTTTGGTAATTAAATTATTGTCATTTTATTTAAATAACTGCCAACTCAATTAGTTTTGGGAAGGTATATCTACACAATACACTACTTGTTGTGACCTTCTACAATTTAATTGTTATTATATAAAGTACAATTATTGCTATTTTAAAAAACAAACTAAAATAGAATAAAACAAACTACATTTAATAAACCTTTTTTAACCATTATGTACTTCATAAGTCTAGGTAAAATATTACACATTATATAAAAGTCGATTACAAATGATTTTGGAAAAACAATGAAAATCGTAAATATTAAAATTATAAAAAAAAAAAAATAATATAAGTATAAAAAAAAAAAAAAATAATAATAATAATAATTACTAATTATTATTAAACCTACTTTGTTTTATACACTTCGTATTTCAATTTTATATTGTAAGTAAATCTATAATTTACATATTATAAAAAAAAAATATTTTGATCCCAAATATTATTATTTAATCTGCAATTTTTAAATATATTTATATTGGAATGGTATTGAACCTGGGCCCATAAAATAATCAGCATATGCATCTCTAACCTCTATTCCTTGTGCTCTTGCTGGAGCTCCTCGAATTTCTAAGTCATCAACCAACAAATTTGACTCCATATCATCGTAACTAGCTCTGTCCCTTTGGCGAACATAATTATGTAAAATGCAACAAGCTTTTATTATTTCATCGGCAAAATCTGGTTCCACTAATAAAGGAGTGTGTAATACTCTCCATTTGTTGGATAATACCCCAAATGCACACTCGACTGTTCTTCGTGCTCTTGAGAGCCTGTAGTTAAATACGCGCCGCTTATCATTTAAACCTCGTCCAGGATATGGTCTTAACAAATTTGTATGTAAACTAAAAGCCTCATCAGCCAAAAACACATATGGCAACGGAGAACTTTCTGAATTAGGCAAGCATGTAGTTTTTGGTAAATTTAGTTGTTGAGCAAACATTTTTTTGCCAAATGTGCATTGTTTAAATACAGTAGAATCTGATTCCCTACCGTAAGCTCCAACATCAATACAAATAAAACTAAGATTAGCATCAACTACAGCCATCAATATAATAGAAAATTATTTTTTGTAGTTAAAATAATATGAACCGGAGTTTATGGGATTCCTACATCGTATGTGTTTACCATCTATGGCACCCAAGCAATTTGGAAAATTTGTGCTTTGATAAAATCTATCAGATATTCCAAGCCATTGTTCATTTGTAGGTTTTGGCATCTCTGTAGGCTGTAAAATTTTCCAAATAATAGCACAGGTCTCTCTAACAATTTCCGCAATAGTACTTTTACCAACGTGAAAATCAAATTGTAGAGCTTTGAAACAAGTCCCAGTTGACAAATACCTGGAAAAAAGATATTTTGACAAAATTTTATATTTATTGAAATTAAATTAAATTATATATTACTTTTCAAAATGATACCTAATAATGAATATTGCCGATTATTATACGAATGTATAGGTATCATTTCTTGCTTCGATTTTCCACTTTAGTATCTAGATCGATTAGAAAGTGAATCTAGTTTGTGCATTTGGGAGTTCAAAATTATTTCCAGTAGTTTTCAAAAGCTCCTGGAAAAACGAAAAAAAAATTGAGGAAAAAACGGGAATTTTTATGCAAAATCATATTTCGACAAAATCGATTTTGGTTTTTGATGTAACTTTAAAAAAAATGACCGTAGACACATGAAATTTTCACTGAATGTTTATATAGGCATTTTCTATATTTGATAACATTTTCAAAATATTTTGAATTTTATTGGTTTGCTCAAAAAGCTTGAAAACTTAATACAAGGCTTCCAAAATAATGTTAAAAAAGCAGTTGAAAAATATTAAAAATACACGGGCACAATTTTTTTTTATAAGCATTTAAAGTTTAAATTTTGACTAAATACGTAATAATCATGGCAAATTTCAAAATATTATCTGAATTAGAAATTCATAAGAAATTTTCTTTTTAAATCTTAGGTTTGAAAATGTAATACAAGATTCTTCTTAAGTAGTTAAATCTGTAGTTAAAAAATCACAGTTATTTTTTATAGTTATTTTAAGATCAAATTTGGACGAAATTACATATATTAAATAACCAAGATTTTTAGTTTTTTAACAAAATAAATATCCTAGGCTGACAAATCGTCTCTACTCAGAGTCGTTTTTCGTATACTATGAATATCATTGTATTCAAATGTAATACAGTATCCAGCTGTACAGCAGAACGACACCCACTTATCCTCTTTTTTTTTGTTTAATTTAGTAAAAAGATTATTTATATTTTAATTTAAGTTAAAGATTTAAAAGAAAAAAGATGGAGAAATGTCCGTGACTATTATATGAAGTGGAACAAAGAGGAGAATTCGACCCCATCTGGTTCGGGTGCATCAAAAAAGAAAAAGTACCATTATGCTGATATTTTTTCATTTTTAAAACCAGTTGCTGAAAAAAGAAGGTAATTTTTTTGTTTTTTGATATTTTTCACTACTAAAAGTTATATTATTGTTTTTAATAAGTAGGTATAATAGTATTATAGCTTTTCATTTTTATACTCTGAAAAATCCATGGATGCATTGGTGATTTAATTTATATTTAATTTTCTATTGATTTCCTTTTTTTTCTAGTAAAAGAGTAGACAGATTTTACATTAATATACCTAGTTAATTTTTAAAATGAGTTCGCTTATATAGTTACACAGATACTTAAAAAAAATTTTTTATTAAATTTATCTATCTTTTTATTATTACATACCTAATATTATTTTTTTGTTTAGTACAACTGGAAATTTTGAAGATAACCTCGACGAAAGTGTTCAAGTCGAACAAACTTTTGAAGAAATTAGCCCGACTAGTGAAACTGAGCAGAATGCAATAGCCTCTACATCCACTTCTCAAGTACACACAAAAAAATTTAAAAAAACTGTAAAAGAAACCCCGATTACTCCGTTCCAAAATAAATTATTAACTTATTTAGAGGAAAGAGAGTGCAATGATCCTGATAAACATTTTTTATTGTCTTTATTACCAGACTACAAAAACCTTAATGATTCCCAAAAATTAGACTTTCGTATTAATGCCCTTAACTTTTTTAAAAATGCAAATCAAACCCATAATATTAGTTCATCTTCTTCGACGTATCAACCGGCAAATGTATATCAGAATAATAACTCATATCAGGATTCCTCATCTTTTTATTTACCTCCGCATAGACAACCTGAAATCAACAATCCATATTATCCCAACGTTGTACCTCCATATCCTCAACCTGTAGTGTATTCACCTACACCTCAACCTCAATTCTCACAGTACCAACAAAAAATTAC